AGGCTGAAGGCCACAAAGTTTGCTGAAAGAGGTACAATGCACATAGATGCCGTCATCCAGCCACGCGGTCGAAGCAGTTGCACCACCTGCTGCTCCGTGCTCCCGGGGAGAGCCAGACCATTCCAAGTGTCCGTAAGGTCCGCCGCTGGTGTGTTACGCACCCACTGGACAATTTTATAACACGAGACACACAAGATAACCGGGCTGATGATCACGGTTAGGCCAAAGCGGACAAAGGTTCCCACGTAGGCGGCCACGAGCACCATGTAGGGCATGCCTGTTTCACGGCAGAAACAGAACCTACCATTCCATTCCACCACAAATGCCTGGCAGAGTATACTCAGGACGCTACTCAGTCCTATAATTATCAAGTAGGTTAGATCGGAGAACATTGAAGGCGCAAAGGCATTCTGGTATTTGCCGACAATCTGAATTGCCCTGTTTCCCACCATGAAATTGAGGTTCAGCGCCCCGAAGATGTAGGAGGCATCGAAGAGGTAGCGACTGCTCCAAACGTGGCATACGACCCGGCCAAAAATGTAGTCATTTGGTGTGAATCGCGGTGGGATTACGTGATTGCAGAAACCGATGAAACTGCAGAGTACGGTGGATGCAGTCAGAGCCCGCATATGAATCAGATAGGTCTTCGTTTTGCCTGTTAGGATACACAGCACTATGAGGAGGCTGATGCTAAGAAGCAGACTCGCACTACTCACAAAGGCAGTGAGGAAGTAGATGGTGTCTCTGGGCGGAAGAGAGTTAGCACATTTCCAGTAGGCCACCTCCATCAGTTTATATTCCAGGTAGCAGTGTGCCGCTAAATTTACTGAATTAATATAAAAATATAGACTGAATTAAAGGCAGTGTAAATTAATAATATAAGCAACTTGCCCTAGCAGTTGGTTGAAGAGGAATCCCAAGTGTCAGCGCTCCCAAGTCCTGCTGAATCTTCACTCTTAAGGTGTTTTCGTCCTATGGAATAGGGCACGGAATATTGGTGTAAATTTTGGCGCGCCAGGTCTATATTATACCTGGCCGCAGCGTTGCTATTGGTCGGATATTTCTGCCCCACCAATACCGACACTGACTGCCATTTCTTTGCTGCGATGCTCTTCTATCTGCATTCCAACCTACCTATCTCACGCTCATTGCTTTTTTTCGTGCCTGTATTTCTGCTGAGATGAGCTTTAAAATCATACGTTTGGTTATAAAGATTCTCAAACTGGGTTTCTTATTTTAAATGATCAAGCTTTGGAGTAGGCCTGCAGAATTTAGGACCCAAGGATAATGCTTTAAGTACTGTTTTATCAAGCGTCGTAGAGGAGTATTTGTGTACGGACCAAGCTGCATCTTTAGGTAGTACTGATTGTGGTTTCCTTTTGTGCATCCTACATAAGAGTGACGATCTCTTTATGTCTCCCCATTTTATTTATATGGTCTGCGTATAGTTAACAAATTCGTGTCTTTCTTCGTCTGTCAGGGTGTCCAGAATGGCAGCTCGTTGGCACACGTGATGCTGTAGTTCATTTATGCTTACATGAGTGCTTTCCAGTTGGTTTTTGGCGTACCGCTTGAGGGTTTCGGTGGTGATAATTGTGTGATTACGTCGTAACGCTCTCCATTATTCGTTCGGATATTTGTTCCTTTCGATAGACCCCAAAGGTCAAGCTCGGTACCTACACAATTACTCCGCTATGAAACTTGATAAAACAGCAATGGAAGCACTATCCTTGGGTCCTAGATTCTGCATGCCTACTCGAAAGGTTGATCAGTTAGGATTAGAAACCCAGTTTGAAACTTTGCATTTATTACGAGTAACATTTGTGCGGTTATGTGAATCCCTCCCCCATCTCTGCCTTCGGCCCTGAATTTCCTGACCGATGGGCTCGCTAACTTCCAGTTAGGAGTTCATTTTATCTTCGCCAATCTAACTGGACAACACTTGAACGTGCTCCATAAACCGCCACTGTTTCGCGCTCTCTCAGGTATGACTGGACGCATTCGACACTGCTGCCTGGCCGATCTGTCCACAGTAAATCTTTCCCACAGGCGCCTTTGCTCCCCCCGGAATGAGTGTTATAACGACGAGTTCTGCGTCGCCAGTGTTGAAATGGTGGCGTCTGACGTGTGTCAACGTCGAATTACGCCCGTTGGAATTCCCAAGGAAGAACACAATAAGAAGGGCATAATTCTGAGATCCGCCCGGAGGAGTGTTTATTGATGTAGAAAACCCGAAGTTGCTGTCTCGGGTGGCTGTAGCCGCTGTTTGAGCTCCAGCGCGCTCTTTGGCCCGCCTCGGGTCTGACCCTGGCCACGGGAGAGGACTAACGTCGTCCTCGCAGTCCGTATGGTGTGCAACTCTCCTTGTCTGAGGTGTGACAATGGCTTGTAGGGGATAATTTCACGCATTCTCTTGCGGCCTGATTGGTCACATTGGGATAACGTCACGCTACCATTTGGCCCTCGGGGAACTGTGACCAGTTGGCACGTGCTTAAGCTCGTGTGCGTGCGTGCCTGCGTGTCCGGTCAAAGGTCATTGTGTGTGGACAG